ATAAACCACTGTCGAGGACCTACCCTTTGAGGGCCCCAAATTATTTGCGGAGTGTATGGATGAGTCCCTGCACTCCCTTAAGGATTCTTAAGCAACTGTCTGCTCTCGTGGCATTTACTCACCAGCGCCAATGAGACGCCTGGGGAAATACCAACTTCCTCCATGATCCTGACCACAGCAGTACACCCCCCAACAACCGTGCGATACTCAACACTGTTGACAAAAGCCCCCTATCAAGCACAGACATGTGACTTCTCAAGGGCTACCTCTCACATACCTTTGGCCAAATAATTTTGAAGGTGTGTTCGAGGCCCTGAGAAGCCTCCCTCTATTCCAGTCAAAACAATCATCTCCAACATCCCACCAGTTTGGCAATCTTCTATCCCCTTTCTTTCCATCATGGCAGCTACTTGCCTCAGACAAGTGGGTTTTAGGGATAATCAAGAAAGCATACTCCATTCCTTTCCTATCTCTTCTGTCCCCCCCCCCCCCTTCCCATCCCTCTTCAGGGATCCTTCTCACGAACCCCTTCTACAAGAAGAAATAAATCACCTTCTGCAACTGGGAGCCATAGAGCCGGTCCCATCCCAGCACAGAGGGAAGGGTTTTTATTCCCATTATTTTCTGATCCAAAAGAAATCCGGCGGGTGGAGCCAATCCTAGACCTTCGAAACCTAAACGAGTTAGTCAAACTGCAACGCTTCAAGATGGTTATCTGTTCTACCATTATCCTGGCACTTGAACAGGGGACTGCTTCTTGTTCCTCAACCTCCAAGACTCATACTTTCACATCACGATATACGCTGTCCACACCCGCTTTCTCCGATTCATCTTGGGGACTGATCACTATGGCTGTGTCTGTCACGGAGGTCGCAGAAGTCACTGGTTCCGTGACTTTCCATGACCTCCATGACTTCTGCAGTGGCCAGTGTGGCTAACCCGAGGGCCACTCAAGCAGCTGGCTCTGGGACCAGCTGCTCAGGTGGACCTAGGGATAGCCACACAGGCTGCTGCTCGGCTGACTCCTGGCAGTGGTCTTGGGGTGGCCGGAATAGCCACGGTTTGCTAGCCCTGGCAGCGGTGCTGCTGGCCCCAGGCACGCCCCAGCAGCAGCATCTCCTCCCTCACGCGCCACCTCACACTCCAAGATTTAGTCACAGGTATTTAAGTCATGGACAGGTCACAGGCCATGAATTTTTCTTATTGCCTGTGACTGTCCATGACTTTTACTAAAAATACCTGTGACTTAATCGTAGTCTTACTGATCACTAGCAATACAAAGTACTGCTCTTCAAACTCTTGACAGCCCCTTGTGTGTTCTCCAAAGTCCTTGTGGTAGTGGCTGCCTACCTACACAAAGAAGGCGTTGTCGTCTTTCCATACTTAGATGACTGCCTCCTCAAAACTCCATCCAAAACAGATGCTCTTCACAGTGTCTGAGTGACAATGGACCTTTTCTCGAGCTTCGGGCTTTGCATAAACCTGGAGAAATCTACACTAACATTGGTGCAACACCTGGAGTTTATTGAGGCACAATTGGATGCCATACAAGCCAGAGCCTTCCTCCCAGCTCTCAGATTTTCAGTTATAGTCAATCTTGTATTCACGGTGAGAACCTGTCCCCAGATCTCAGCCAGGGCATGTCGCCAACTACTTGGCCACATGGCAGCAGCCGCCTTCATGGTAAAGTACGCACATGTTATGTCTCCAGGCATAGCTACATAGTCTATGTACCTCACAAACACATCCTTCACAAACTCCTATCTATACCTATGAAGGTCCAGGACTAACTAGTCTGGTGGACACAGATCAAAAACGTTTGTGTCAGGGTCCCTTTCCTTTAACCAGCACCGTCCATGATTCTAACAACCGACTCCTTAATTGATTGGGGAGCACACCTTCACATTCACACAGTGCAGGACAGATGGTCCTTAATCGAATCTACCCTACATATCAACGTCCTAGAGTTATGAGCAGTCTGCAATACCTGCTGATGTTTTCTCCCACTCGTAGTGTGATGTGCTATCAGAGTCATGACTGACAATATGGCCTGCATGTTCTACATCGACAGGCAAGATTGAGCGAGATCTCTCTCTACTCTGAGGCACTGAAATTATGGAACTGGTGTATCCAACACTGTATCACCATCTTAGCTGTATATCTCCCTGGACACCAGAACACCACTGCAGGCTCACTGAGCAGGAGATTCTCTCACAATCACACATGGGAACAAGATACGGGAGTCCTTCAGCACATCCTCAACTGCTGGGGATTACCCTCCATAGGCCTCTTGGCCACACTGGCGAATTCCCACTGCCCTTAGTTTTGCTCAAGAGTGGGTCGAGGATGCGGATTCCTGGAAGATGCCTTCCTTATCACATGGGATACACTGGTACTCTGCCTTCCCTCCCTTCCCCCTTCTGTTCAGAGTACTCCACAAGAACCAAGGGGACAGAGCCAGAGTCATGCATATAGCTCCGACATAGCCACCCCAGATCTGGTATACTTACCTCATTTGCATGACAGTATGCCCTCCAACCACTATCTGTCCAACTCCAGTGACTTCTTTTACAGGATGAGGGTTGCATCCTCCATCCCAATCCACAGCTACTCCACCTGAACACATGGCTCCTCCATGGTGCTGGGATTCAGAAATAACCTCTTTGGAAGCAGTTAAATGTACTTTCGAACAGCAGGCGTGATATGACTAGAGGCACTTACCTCCACAAATGGACTAGAATCCAATCCTGGTGCGCCTCCCATCAGGTTGAGGCACTGAGCACTCCATTACCACTTGTCTTGGACTATGTTTTATACCTTTAAAAGATTCGCGTTCTCCATGAGCTCCATAGGTGTGCATTTGGCAGCCATCACAACCTTTCACTGCGAGATAGACGGCCACTCCATCTTCACCCACCCGCTCATTAAACGATTCCTGAAGGGCCTCCAAAATCTTTACCCTCACATATGGGATCCAACCCCGGCTTGGGACTCTTGTCACTAGACCTCCATTCGAACCAATGGCAACTTGCTTCTATGTTCATTTGTCATACAAGAACAGTATTTTTTGTTACCACCTCTGCCGGTGGATTGGTGAAATTGGAGCACATATGGCATACCTACCATACATGATTTTTCATAAAGACAAGGTTACGCTACGCTGACATACAAAATTTTTTACCTGAGGTACCATCCACTTTCCATCTAAACCAACCTATCCACCTTCCCTGCTTCTTTCCAATGACACACAGCAACAAACAGGAGGCAACATTTTACACTCTGGACATCAGATGAGCATTAGCTTTCTACCTGGACAGAACTAAACCTTTCAGGAAATCATCACACTTATTCCTCCCAATGGCCAAAAGATCGAAAGGCGCAGTCATTTCAAAGCAATGCCTTTCCAAGTGGATTTCACAGTGTATACATCTTTCCTACTCACTACACAATCGATAACCTCCCCCTGGAACTAGAGCACATTCCACTCGCTCACTCTCCACCTCAACCACCTTTCTTAACAATGTCCTGATTGCTGATATTTGCAAACCAGCCACATGCACATCAGCGGACGCTTTTAGCTGTCACTACACCATTACTCAGGATGTCACATCAGATACTCTGCTAGGACACACTGTCCTATCATCCACAGTAAATGCCGCTCCAAAGCTCCAGCTTTCCAACTTGGGGTATTGCTTTATAATCACCTACAGTGGAGCACTGGGGGTACTGCTTTATAATCACCTCCATCCATAGCGACATCACTTGAAGAGACGGTTACTCACCTCAGTGCAGTAACTGAGCTTCTTTGAGATGTGTCCCTATGCGTGCTCCACTCCCCATCCTCCTCCCCTTTGCTTCAGAGCTGAAAGATAAGCTCTGCAACAAAGAAGGAACTTGGGGGCGGTCGGGCCGCACAGTGCTATATATATGTCCCGCTCATGGTGTGAGACAGGGAGGTGTGCATGTGCAGTCCAAAGGGCACTGCTGATGAAGATCTCTAATCCCAGGCGCCAGGGGGCACTGCTGCACCTACAGGGGAGCACTCATAGATGAAAGGAGAGAGTTGCACTCCATGAGAGGGTGATCTTGCTCACTTCCCTGAGACTTATCCTCCGGAAATAGAACCAGTGTGGTTGCATGCAGGAGGCAGGATTTGTGAGCCCATGCTGGGGATGGCCCCACTAAGAAGATCAGTGGCACAGACATGGATCAATGGTGCTGTGGGGTTGGGGGGCGGGAAGGAATAGGTTAGTAGTCTTCTAAATTCTGCCCACAAATAAAACCTTATACACTTGAGATGTCCAAAACACTCCATTCTCAAAGATCTCTGGAGTATGAGCCTTGTCTGAATGCTTTGAATCAGCATCCAATAACTAATGAAGCTAAAACTCTGAACTCTAATGATGAAAATTTAAACTCTTAATACGAATAAAGACATTTCACACATGTGTCAGAACTAGTTTAGGGCATCATCAGACATCGTTGCCTTGGTTTATACTTGGTTAACATTCAAGTTTTCTTTGCATTTTTCAGTGCTGGATCTTAACTTCTTTTAAATGAAAGCTTAAATTCCAAGAACATGGTAGCAGCCTCCAAGAAAAACTGTAGGTGTGCCAAACCACCATAAACTAGTCCAATTTGACCCTTCCTGCACTGCATTGTGCAGTGGATATTTGTGGGAGGAACAAGACTCCACCAGCCAATCTTGCTTCTTGTAGTGGGTGCACCGGTAATTCTAGGCCTGAAGGAGTAGAAACCATGGAGCAGATGTGGATGCAGAGATTATAAATTGAGGGAAGAGGGGTGGTACACTTGATTTCAGCCCAGCCATAAGAGATTTTAAACTTAAATGGGGGGAAATTGTTGTCAATTGTCTAACAATAGAAATAAGAAAAAATGAATCACTTGTGAATTGATCATATAGAAACCGTGCCACTTAATGAGTATTTGAATTTAAAATTATTTTAAAACTGATTTATTTGGGTCTTTTCATTAAACAGGAATCTTTCGGATATTGACCAAGATGGAAAACTTACAGCAGAAGAGTTTATTCTGGCTATGCACTTAATTGATGTGGCCATGTCTGGACAACCATTGCCACCTGTACTGCCTCCAGAATATATTCCACCTTCATTTAGGTAAAATGGTTATAAATTGTGCTATTTCATTCCTAAACTACTTAATCTTGGTTTTGTTTGGGAAACCTATTTTGATCTTTCTGTTCAGTTGTGTGGAAGTCAAGGATAAGGGGCTGGAAAAAGCTGCTACTTATCCCATTATCTTTGCATTGCATAGACGGCATGCAATACTTTCTCACTGGGGAAATGTCTGCTGTAGCTTTTATTATTTGTTACTGGCAAATGAAGACTCTCCATCACAAGAAGTGACTTTAAGAGTATTTAAGTGAATTTTAGGAAGATAAACTGAGAACTAAAGCAATTTGAACTAAAATCTATTGTAATTCAGCTACCCAATATTACCCTCCCTTTTACTGCACCACAAGGAGATGTGGGAGAATTCAAAACTTGGCCTGAACTTCTATTGTAGTAAATTCTGGCTTGTGGTCCAGTAAGTATTTATGGATTCCAGATGCTGAGTCACCCTACTTCTTTTTCCATTTTCCTTTTCCAAGGCAAAATTGCAGTGAGAAGACATCTTTACATATGTTCACTGTCTCAGGAACTTGAAATTTAATCTTACGGATAGTGATTCATAACTTACTGCACACAATGTTTTTTTTTAATTAAATTTGAGCTCCTGTATCTCCTTGCTTCTTGATCTCTTGCCTAGACCATAGTTGTCAAACATTTTGGCCATAAGTGGTTTACACAATTTATAACTATTTTTAATTGGCAGAAGAGTACGCTCTGGCAGTGGCATCTCTGTGATAAGCTCAGTATCTGTAGACCAAAGGTTGCCAGAAGAACCAGTGTTGGAAGAAGAACAGCAACAATTGGAAAAGAAATTGCCAGGTTAGTGAGTTTGCAGTGTTGTTGTAGCTGTGTTGGTCCCAGGATATCAGAGACGAGGTGGGTGAGGTAATATCTTTTATTGGACCAACTTATGTTGGTCAGAGACAAACTTTTAAGCTACACAGAACTCTTCTTCAGGTGAGTGAGTGTAAGTTTAGATAGTGCTTTCTGGTTTAACAGGACAGAACATATCAGCTGTTCACATATATTAATAACATTAAGATTTTTTTGTTATGGTTACATTGTGATGCAAGAAGCATGGCTGAGATGTTGCTGTGTCCAGCTGATTCCCAGTTTCTGAAATGGCCTCTGTGGGCCATTGGCAGCAGACACAGGAACAGCTTTCACGCTGCTTTGTCTTGCCCTGATGGCTGGTAGGCCCAGACTGGGGCTACTGCAATAGTGGTATAATGTTGCTTTTGACCCCCACCTCCCACCCCCGACTTGCGCCGAGTGTATTTTGGCCTGTGTGGAGGATCAGGACCATAGTGTGTATATACAGGTCTGTTTCATTGTAATCTATGTACTTTATGGTTTTATACACTTTTAATCAGTTCTGTTTAAGAAGATATCAGGTTTTCTGAATATTAACAAAATGGCTTCTGATATTAAAACCTCTAAAACTTTATCAAGGAATTCTTGGCTTATTACGTTGATACTTAGTTGTTGGTGTGAAGCAATAGTAACAGCCAGCTGGGCTTATCCTGCATGATGAGTTTTTAGAGCATATTTCCAGTTGAAATGTTCACTACATTCTTTCAGAGAACTAGAGAAACAAAACTTGTTTCCACCCATCCAAAGTGTACTCCGTTTTCTTCACTATGAACTGCACATCTTCCCGAATGCCCCTCTGGCAAAGGAGGACTGGACTCAGCTAAATTACCTCAATGAATCTACTCTATACCCCTTTGTGGCAGCAAGATGGTGGCCCTGGTAGAATGATGTGAGGTATTGCCGCCCCCTCAACAGGCTTTCTGTGCAGTGCCTCGAGGCAGTGCCAATCCTGAAGTGAGAGATCTAACTTGAATCCTCAAACTGATGTCTTGTGTGGGATGTGTTGTTACTATATCACGGACCTAACCCTGAGGCAATTAGTGACTGAAACACACCCAAAGCTTGGTGTCATATTTTCACTCATGTCTTAGTGTTGTTTTATCAGAAAAATATCTTGAAATCATGCAGTATGCTGCTCACAGAAAAGATAACTTTGTAACTGCAGTTAAATTGCTCTTAAGCTGTTATACTGCGTCTCAAACTTAACTTACCTCTTTCTGTGTCTGCTCTATTATAAACGAAATGCTGTAAATAAAATGATAATCAGTGAATATATTAAGTGATTTAAATGTGAGGCTCAAGGTGAGCACAGTAGTTTAAGAATTGTGCTCTTCACAGCCTGGATTCAATTGGACAATTTTTCAGAAGTTTTCTCAATAAATTAATGAACCATAGCCTGCACTTTGTTGGCTTTGTAGTAAGTTAGCTTCCACCTCAGTGATGCTACATGGCAGTGGTTTCTAATCTACTAGGAAAGTCAGAGCTTTTACTAGACTAAGACTTGGACTTTTGGTTCTCAGTGAACAACACACACTTAATAGTATACAATTCACATATGTTGAGGGACTCCAAATCCTAGAGTATGCAAGATTGGAGGAATGGACTGCCTGAACTCCAGTATACACATCTGGATAGAAGCTGGGCTTTGTGGTACACAGGAGCCCAAAAGGTAGGCCTGGAATTCATCCTTCAAGTAAGGATGAAGGCTTTGGTGGAGATGGCAATATAAGTGCCAGTGACAACATCAAGAAGTATCCATTAAAGTTCTGCTTATCAGTAGTTGAGAACGAGGTTGGAATACTGTTGGACACTTGTTGCATGTAGCAAACTGTTCTTGGTTCACCAGTCTGTTTTCATAGTCCTTTTGTTTGGTTGTTTGTTTTTTTTTTTTGTTTTTGTTTTAGACAAAGCAAAGCTTAATTTCACCATTCACATTTTCTTGTGTTAAAGTTACGTTTGAAGATAAAAAACGTGAGAACTTTGAACGTGGCAATCTGGAGCTTGAAAAGCGGAGGCAGGCCCTTCTGGAGCAGCAGCGCAAAGAGCAAGAGCGGCTAGCACAACTGGAACGGGCAGAGCAGGAAAGGAAAGAACGCGAACGACAGGAGCAAGAACGTAAAAGACAACTGGAGCTAGAAAAGCAATTAGAAAAACAACGCGAATTGGAACGTCAGAGAGAAGAAGAAAGGCGGAAAGAAATAGAAAGGCGTGAGGTAAATGGATACAGAGGTAGTAGTGTCTCTGAAAATTGTCTTTTGATCTGAACAAAACCGAAAAAAGTATGCTGGCAAGTATTTTACCATACTTTCTTTACTATAAAAGTCTTTACTTGTTTATAATTCCTTAGAAACTAATTGGTTTATTAGTAAACTATTTTTCCTGCTACAATTAAGGAACAGACTTCAGTTTCAAGTTTCCTGGAAGTAGATAGAGACAACTTTATCTAAATCTAGGATGTTTCTTGTGAAATGTCTCCCATTCTACTGAATGGATCAGACAGGTGTAGCACACAGTGTTCCTGACCTCCAACCTTAAAACTTTTTGCAACGTGAAGTGATCTTGCTTTCGATGAAGGAGCAAAGACTTCTGCTTGGGGTTGGAAATTCTTAATGCTTCTGATGCAGTCAGTACGTTAGGTGAAGAGAAAATTCAATGGCAAGCTTAGGAAGAGCTGCAGTGTTTTGAAATCACCAGACTTTAACTGTTTTTAAAATTTAATGGAGCAGCACTTGACCTTCTACTCCCATATGTGTTTGAGAAATTAAGTGTGTGATTATTCAGAGTTTATTGAAATGTCAAATTAAATGTTGGTTAATATATTAAAATGGAAGAAATATATATATTTCAAAAGTAGCACCTTTGCAGATTGTGGCCTCAGTTGACCAAGGGTCTTAAGCACATGCCTAACTTTAAGCAGTGGGATTATTCTCTTGTTGTTAAAGCTAAGCATATACTTAAGTACTTTGTTGAACGGGGGCATATATTAATGCTTTCAGTGTACACTATACTAGAACTATTCTAATGAGGGAATAGGGTAGATTCACAGACTGGACATTTCAACAGTGATTGGTTTTTTTACATACTATAGGCTGCAAAAAGGGAACTTGAAAGGCAAAGACAACTTGAGTGGGAGCGTAATCGTCGGCAAGAACTACTAAATCAAAGAAACAAAGAACAAGAGGACATAGTTGTGCTGAAGGCAAAGAAGAAGACTTTAGAATTTGAGTTGGAAGCTCTAGTAAGTGAAGATATTTTTAAAATGTTGTAGGTTTAAGTATTTACTATATATGACCATCCATTTCCAAAAAACTTGTATTTAAGAGGGAAAAAAATAGTGGTGATTATATTGTAAATGGAGTACAAGATCACAGTAACAAACACTACAGAGTCTTGATTTGTTTCCATAATTACATCTTGGTTTTTATTCTACAACTAACTGACTATTTTTAGTTTTAGAAACATATAAAATCCAGATTTGCATGATGAATTATTGTAGTAACCAAAATGTATCTCTTCTTGCTGAAGAATGATAAAAAACATCAGCTGGAGGGAAAGCTTCAGGATATCAGGTGTCGATTGTCTATCCAAAGACATGAAATTGAGAGCACAAACAAATCTAGAGAACTGAGAATTGCAGAAATTACACATTTGCAACAGCAGTTACAGGTGAGCATGCTGGTGTTTCTTATGTTTAGCCTTTTAGGCTTGTTTTGTCCTCACCCATCTGGATCAGTCCTGATCAAACTTCCCCACCAAACATTGCATGCTACTTTGTCACTCCTGAACAGTTCCACTAATTAATAATTCATTTATATAGTGTCTTTCATCCCAAAAGATCAAGTCACTCTTAAAACTATGTATAGGAATTGCTTACCACACTGGAAGTTAGCAGCAGTTGATTGAACATGCACAGCAATATCTCACACTCTTCAGGTTGGAAGAAGTGAATAAATTGTCCAACTGAAAATGTATGGGGAATTGAGGGAGGTGGATTTTTTTTATTAAAATATACATCTATCTATAGGAGCCCATCCCATACATTCAAATATAAGTACTACCCATACAGAAGCAGCTACCAAACTCCTCCAACCCTGAGTCCAGCCCCCTCCCAAGTTAGAGTTCACCAGGATATTGTGGCAAACAAGAGTCTTGTGAAAAACCTGTATAGCAAACAAAGGCATAACAAGATCAAGAGGCTGGAAGATGGAAAACTTAAGCTAGAAGTAAGAATGAACGTTTTTAATGGTAAGGGCCGTTAGTAATTGCAATAAATTACCAAGGGTTTGGTAAATTCTCCATCACTTAGAATCTTTAAATAAAGATTGGATGTTTTCTGAAAGATAGCTCCAGTTTCAGTTACACGTTACTGATAGCTCCAACTCAACTAAACATTATTGAGTGAAATCCCAGCGCCTATGGTCTGCAGGAGGTTAGACTTGCTCATAATTCCTTCTATGAAGCTGTGAAAAACGCCATTGGACTGTAGATGACAGAGGTGTTTAATGCCTATTTTGTTTGTCTTCACCAAAAAGGTTAACGGTGCCCAGGTACTCAACACAACGAATATCAATGGCAAAGGAGAAGGAATGCAAGCCAAAACAGGGAAAGAACAGGTTAAAGAATATTTAGATAAGTTAGATGTATTCAAGTCAGCAGGGCCTGTTGAGATTGATCCTAGGGTACTTAAGGAACTAGTTGAAGCAATCTTGGAACCATTAGCAATGATCTTTGAGAACTCTTGGAGGATGGATGAGGTCCCAGATGACTGGAGAAAGGCAGGTACTGTGTTTGCCTATCTTTAAAGGACCCAAGTAATTATAGATCAGTCAGCCTAACTTTGGTACCTGGGAAGATACTGGAACAAATTGTTAAACAATCCATTTATAAGCATCTGCAGGATGATAGAATTATCAAAAATAGCCACCATGGATTTGTCAAGAACAAATCATGCCAAAACAACCTAATTTCCTTCTTTGACAGGGTTACTGGCCTATTGGATGGGGGGGAAGCAGTGGATGTGATGTATCTTTATTTTAGTAAGGTTTTGACACAATCCCACATGATATTCTCATAAACAAAGCAGGGAGATGTGGTCTAGATGAAATTACTATAAGGTGGATTCACAGTTGGTTGAAAGACCACACTTAGACTGGTTATAAATGCTTCCCTGTCAAACTGGGATGGTGCATCTAGTGGGGTCTTGCAGTGTGTCGTGGTGCTGGTACTATTCAGTATTTTTGTTCATGACTTGGAGTGGAATGTATGCTTATAAAATATGTGGATAACACCAAGCTAAGGAGGTAGTGTTTGCAATTGTGAGGACAGGATTAGAATTCAAAATGACCTTGGTAAATTGGAGAATTGGTCTGAATTCAACAAGATGAAATTCAATAAAGACAAGTGCATAGTACTTTGATTAAGAATAAAAATCAAATGCACAACTACATAATGGGGCATAACTGGCTATGTGGTAGTGCTGCTGCAAAGGATCTGGGAGTTCTAGATCACAAATTGAATTTGGTGCAGCTGTAAAAAAGGCTAATATTCTGGGGTGACTTCGGAGTGTTGTATATAGGACACGGAAGGTAATTGTCCTGCACTACTTGGCACTGGTGAGTCCTCATTTGTAGTACTGTGTCCAGTTCTGGGTGCCACATTTTAGGAGGGATGTGGACAAATTGTTGCTCTCCCTTGGACCCTCTCCAAAAATGATAAGGTTTTGAAAACCTGACCTATGAGAGAAGATTTGAGGAACAACTGGGCATGTTTAGTCTTGAGAAAAGATGATTGAGGGGGGACCTGATAGCAGTCTTCAAATATATTAAGTCTGTTTATAAAAAGACTGATCTATTGTTCTCTCTGTCCACTGAAGGCAGGACAAGAATTAATGCCCTAAATCTGCAGCAAGGGAATTTTAGGTTACATATTAGTAAAAACGTTCTAACTGTGAGAGTAGTTAAGCTCTGGAATAGGATTTCAAGGGAGGTTGTGGAATTCCCATCATTGGAGGGTTTTAAAAGAAGTTGGACAAACCTTTGTCAGGGATGGCCTAGGTTTATTTGGTCCTGCTGCCACAGAAATGATTTCTCAAGATCCCTTCCAGCACTACATTTTTATGATTCTATAACCACAAGTGTTTGGGACTGTAGTAAGTTAAGTGGTGGATGGGTTTGAATATTTATATATGTGGGGAAAGTCTTTTTTTTTTTTTTTTTTTTTAATATATATATAATTCTGTGAACATCCAGTATTCAGATTTATTTTAGTGAGCTTTTGGTATTTTACTAACATACCCTTGCTGTAGATGGAAAGAGAGTGAAGGGGGCACTGACCTATGATTTTTGATACTCAAATGTAGTGTATTATTCTATTTCTTTAACTTAGTTAACATTGTCATGTTAAAATAAATGAGAAAATTAATTTAGATTCCTGCAGAGGATCTCTGGTGAAGTTCTGCCCTCAGCATGTACGTACACTTCCTGACTTTTGCTGGAAGCTATGCATGTATATCTGAGGGCAGAATTTGTCTCTTCACTGTACTCTTTAGTTCAAGTGACTTCTGATTTTACACATGCAGACAGCAGTGGTGTTTTGTCAGAAAGATTGCCTCATCTCAAAAAGTACAGAAAAGGGCAACAAAAATCATAGGGGTATGAAACAGCTTCCATATTAGGAGAGGTTAAAAAGATTGGGACTGTTGAGCTTAGAAAAGATGACTAAGAGGGGATATGATAGAGGTCTATAAAATCATGAGTGGTTTGGAGAAAGTGAGTAAAAAAGTGTTGTTTACCCCGTCACATAGCACAGGTACCAAGGTCACCCATTGATAGGCAGCAGGTTTAAAACAAATATGAGGAAATACTACTTCACACACAGGGCCGGCTCCAGGGTTTTGGCCGCCCCAAGCAACCAAAAAAAAAAAAAAGCCGTGATCACGATCGCGATCTGTGGCGGCAATTCGGCAGGAGGTCCTTCACTCCGAGCAGGAGTGAGGGACCGTCCGCCGAATAGCTGGACATGCCGCCCCTCCCCGGAGCAGCCGCCCCAAGCACCTGCTTGCCAGGCTGGTGCCTGGAGCCGGTCCTGTTCACACAATGCACAGTCAGCCTGTGGAACTCATTGCCAGGAGATGTTGTGAAAGCCAAAAGTTTAACGGGGTTCAAAAAAGAATTGAATAAGTTAGATCTATCCTCGATTATTGGATATTTGCCAAGATGATCAGGGATGCAGCCTTATGCTCTGGGTGTCCTTAAACCTCTGAATACAAGGAGATGAGACTGAATGACTGGATAGATCACTTGATAATTGCCCTAGTCTGTTCGTTCCCTCTGAAGCATCTCTCACTGGCCACTCTCAGAAGACAGAATCCTGGGCTAGACAGACCATTGGTCTGACCCAGTATGGCCATTCTTATGTTCTTATGACAAATGCTATTTTAGGTAATTGTGTTTTTCCTACAGACTAAACTGAGTTCATGTTCTCTTGCTATATACTGTTCCTATGAACTGTAAACAATTCTTTCCTTGCACATTGGAATTGGCTATATTTTTATGGTAGGTAAAATGGCTTGTTTATGTAGCTTGTAAAGAACTTTTTGCATTCTTTAGAATGAAAGGTGCTGCGAAAACTTAAGATATTAATATGGCTATGGGTAAGGCTGCGAGTTCATCACAGAGGGACAGAAGTCATGGATTCCGTGACTTTTCAGGATCTCTGTTACTTCTGCAGTGGCCGGTGCAGCTGGCCTGGGGGCCGCCTGAGCAGCTCAGGCATCACCTGGGCCAGCCGCACCAGCCGCTGCTGGAACAGTCTCGGGCCACCACTACTCCCCCTTCTTCCCCTCTTTTTCCCCCCCCCCCCCAACAGTGAGAGTTTGGGTATAGAGGGGGCAGGGGGTTGGGGCATGGGAGGAAGTGAGGGCTCCGGGCGGCGTTCACCTCAGGGAGCGGTGACATGTTCCTCCTTCAGCTCCTAGGCGGAGGTGCGGCCAGGCAGCTCCACACGCTGCCTCCGCCCACTTGTGGTGGCCCTGCAGCTCCCATTGGCCGCGGTTCCCAGTCAATGGGAGCTGCCAGCCCCACCAGCCCCTCCCCCCCAAGCACCTGTGGCGCCCCTGGGCCACCCCGCCACCCTACTCCAGAGCACCCAAGATTAGTCAGGGATATATAGTACAAGTCATGGGCCGTGAATTTTTGTTTACTGCCTGTGACCTGTCCATGACTTTTACTAAAAATACCCATGACTAAAACGTAGCCTTAGCTTTGAGTGGTTGCATTTTCATGAGTTCATTAACTGCTGCATTTTTTTGTCTGAACTGTACATAACACATGTATCCATTAGGAATTGATATGTGAGAGGCTTCTGGTTGGTTTGATACTGTTTTTATAGGTTCTTATGATCCCCATAACACTTGAGCACCTCTTAGCTTTCTAAAAACAGATATACCAATAAGAATTGTTTTTGTATATGTTCTCTTGTTCTTCCCTCTCTTTCTCCCCCCCACCCCCATTTTGCTTTTAAAGTGTTTTGTTTGATTAGTTGTTTGGAGGGTGGGTTACCTGTGTGTGTGAGTGTGTGGGAGGAGGGGTGTTTTTTTTGTGTAGAAACAAAGGGAAAGCTGACTCAACGAAATGAGTGGAGAATGATTAGATAACTGAAGTCACTCTCTTAAAAGATTAAAAATAATCACAGACCTAAATCCAGCTCTTGTGAAAGTTTATCTTCTGTTTTAATGGACTTCATCCTTTAGTTTACAGCTTTCTGCTTTCAGAGCAAAGCGAATATAATGTATTGAAGATTGAGCCCTAGTCATCAGGATTCTCTCCTCCCTAAATCCCCTTGAAATGGAGTTTATTTTCACCAAAGTCAAAACTGATATTTCCATAACACTGCAGTTCTTCTCTACAAAGTGAGAAATATATAAAACAGAGTAAAGAGAACATTTATAAAGTGGACATACAAAATAGAGTAGCAATGGAAGTGTTGAAAGCTTGAAGTGTGGTAACACGCTGTAAGTGGATTGGATGATAGGGAACTCTGTAGAACGGAGAAACAACTGAGCTACTACAATATTTTATAACTTAATTCATGAGTCATTAAGTACTGTGGCTAGTAATTCTGGTACTACAAAGACTGTTGGCTGTGTTCAACTGATTGGCCTTGACACTGAGAAAAGAGAGGAGAATCTGTTGTGCTCATCTAATGAAATACAGCATACTATCCTGTGCTAGTTTAGTATCAAAAGATGGTGATTCTTAATTATTTATATTACAGTTATGTCCAGAAACCTTCAGTTGGGATCAGGTCCACATTATGCTAAGCACTTACTGTAACAAAGAAGTGGAGAGTACAGAGGGGAAGGTGGCTGAGACTAACATTAGTTGGAAACACATGGTTACATAGATAAGTTATGTTTAGGACTAGATAGCTGCAAAGAAGTAACATTTTAATACTGTTATAAGATACAAATGAACAAATAGCTGGCAAATGTCCCTGTTGATGTCTGCCTATACATTACTTATTTTTATCACATGCATACAAGGCTTGAATGCATGCAGATGTTCTTAAAATGTTACCTTTTATACTAACTTTATGCCATCAGTTTCACTGTATCACTGTAGAAGGAGATCTGAAGGGGAGCAATTTACCTGCTTTTTAAAAAAATAATTGTTTGCCTAACTGTATTAGTTCTGAGAGGGGGAGAAATACCCCTCTCCCCCTAAATATACCCTATGCAGCATACAACTACTTTTTGCTTATCTCAATCATTAGTTTGCCCTCTGTTTTAATTCCATTTAAAATCTCCAGAACAAAATCAACTTTATTAAAAATTACCTGCTTTCTAACCTTCATTCAAACCACTCATTGAGGTTTTAGGTTTGGGTAGATGGATACAATCTGAATTGAATCCTGAGCATCCAGCAGTGCAATTAATACAGAGAGCATTAACTGTTTATAAATGCTCTGTTCACAATGATTGGAACTGAATTGCCATCACACCCTTTTTTTTTTTTTTTTTTTTTTTTTTTTTTTTTAAGCTTAACAATACGCAACCCATGGCCCTGCAGTATTAGCTTCTCCCAGTACACTGATCCAACACTAATGTCATATACCTCAGTTGTTGCTGCTTGAATGATTTATCACTGTATGATCACAAACCTGTAAATAATGGTGACTAATCAATAGGAAAGAGTAAAATTGTCTTGGGAGAACCCAGAAAGTAATCAGAAATTGTAAGGACATCAATTCCTCAAAAATATTCATAAATATACATGACCACCTCATTTATAGAGGAGAAAACAAAAGGCATCTGATTGGTCTTTTTTTAAAGGAGGCTCCCAGACTCTTAATTCAAAAACTTACAAAAATCAATAGTACACCTCTGCCTCGATTATAACGCGACCCGATATAACACGAATTCGGATATAACGCGGTAAAGCAGTGCTCTGGGGGGCGGGGCTGCGCACTCCGGTGGATCAAAGCAAGTTCAATATAACGTGGTAAGATTTTTTGGCTCCCGAGGACAGCATTATATCGAGGTAGAGGTGTAATAATTATCTTCATAAGGTGGGGTCTCTCCCTTTAATTTCAGTTGGAAATCAAACGGTGCCTAATGTTTGAGTGAGATACATCTGACTGACATTTATGATACCACACTCTTACTATACAGCGGTCAATAAACACATTTGGAAAGGCTCTACTAAATGATCCTTTCTCCAAGTTTCTTGGGAGTGAAAAGCTGAATTAATTAAAATAGTGACTACTCTTCAAACTACTGCATGTATTAAAAGTAGGGCTGTTGATTTAATTGCGATTAACTAAAAAAAAATTAATCGTGATTTTAAAAATTTATCGTGATTAATCACAGTTTTAATCACACTGCTAAACAATAGAGTACTGATTGAAATTTATTACATATTTTTGGATGTTTTTCTACATTTTCAAATATATTTATTTCAATTACAACACAGAATACAAAGTGTACAGTGCTCACTTTATATTATTTTTTATTCCAAATATTTGCACTGTAAAAGTGATAAAAGAAATAGCATTTTTCAGTTCAGCTCATACAAGTACTGTAGTGCGATCTCTTTATCGTGAAAGTGCAACTTACAAATGTCCTACTTCTTGTTCAGCCAATCGCTAAAACAAACTAGTTTGTTTACATTTATGGAGATAATGCTGCCTTCACATGGCACTTTTGTAGACGGCATTGCAAGGTATTTACATGTCAGATATGCCTCTTCACACTTCAACCACATTCCAGAGGACATGCTTCCATGCTGATGACGCTCATTAAAAAAATTGTGTTAATGAAATTTGTGAATGAACTCCTTGGGGGAGAATTCTGTGTATCCTGATCTGTTTTACCAACAATTTGCCATATATTTCATGTTATAGCAGTCTCAGATGATGACCTAGCACATGTTGTTCATTTCAAGAACACTTTCACTGCAGATTTGACAAAATGCAAAGAAGGTACCAATGTGAGATTTCTAAAGATAGCTACAGCACTCGACCCAAGGTTTAAGAATCTGAAGTGCCTTCCAAAATCTGAGAGGGACTAAGTCTGGAGCATGCTTTCAGAAGTCTTAAAAGAGCAACACTCCGATGCGGAAACTACAGAACCTGAACCTTCCCCTCCCCCACAAAAAATCAACCTTCTGCTGATGGCATCTGACTCGGATGATGAAAATGAACATGCGTTGGGCCACACTGCTTTGGATCATTATTGAGCAGAACCCATCATCAGCATGGACGTATGTCCTCTGGAATAGTGGTTGAGGCATGAAGGGACATATGAATCTTTAGCGCATCCGGCACGTAAATATCTTGTGACACCAGCTACAACAGTGCCATGTGAACGCCTGTTCTCACTTTCAGGTGATGATATTGCCCGTAAATGTAAACAAACTTGTTTGTCTGAGTGATTGGCTGAACAAGAAGTAGGACTGAGTGGACTTGTAGGTTTTAAAGTTTTACATTGTTTTGCTTTTGAGTGCAGTTTTATTTATATATATATCTATATATATAGATATATATATATATTCATATATATATATAATTTTTTTTTACATAGTTCTACATTTTGTCATGAAAGTTGAACTTACAGGAGATTGCAATACCGTACTTTTTATTAGGTGAATTGGAAAATACTATTTCTTTTGTTTATCACTTTTACAGTGCAAATATTTGGAATAAAAATAATAATATAAAGTGAGCACTGTATAATTGAAATAAATATATTTGAAAATGTAGAAAAACATTCAAAAACAATTAATAAATTTCATTTAGTATTCTGTTTAGCAGTGCAATTAAAACTGCAATTAATCGGGATTAATTTTTATAATCACAATTAATATTTTTGCGTTAATCGTATTAGTTAACTGCAATTAATTGACAGTCATTTCAATACCATCATATAGGTGTTCTTGTAAGTAAATACAAATCTTTGACTGGACTCACAAAGGGATTAACGAGGTGTGTCATACTTATGTAGAAGGTCATGCTATGTCGTTTATGGTCCTTTATGACAAATCTGTCAGGTAGTTAAATCGTTAAAACTGCTGCTGAAGTAACTTGCTTAAAAGAAAGTTTGTTTTCAAAGATACTGAGATATTGATACTGACAGTTTTTGTATATTAAGCCATTTCATATCAGGGTTCTGTAATCTGTTCTGACAACTTGATGTTGGGGGTCAAGGCACTGGAAACGTATGTAGTGGAATTGACAATTATCCCCCAGAAATAACAAGGATTATACATATTCTGCCATAAGAAAAATCTTCTCATTCGCAGGCCACCCTACAATTAAACTTTTATTTATATGTAGCTTTCTGGGTTCCTGTAAAGCAACTGGGTTCCTGTAAAGCAAATAATGAACTGTGATCTCTGCTGGAATGCTAAGCAGAGATCTGGAACTCTAGTATTCTTATTTCATAGTCCACAAGTAAGCAGATCTTGGTGGTTATGTGTTTGTTTAAATGAAGATTATTTATTATCTTTGAATGATTAATAAAATCGACAATCCGTAAATCTTCCTCCTCTTGATGAAACTTCCAATTACTCATTTAAGTGACCCCCAAACACTTTCTAAGGGCCCAATTCAATACCCAACTAGGTAGATACTTGTACCCTTATACAAATTTCAGTCAGATCTTGCTTTGGAACTAGCTGAGATCAAGTTTGTTTATTAGATGGGAGCAGTTTCTGAAGTAACAGATTTGACTCACTGGCTTTTTTTTTAGGGGATAGGATGTACCTGTATGTAGTTATATCACTAAGAAATGGTCCCACACAACAAGTGCTTTGATAATATTTGACTGAATGAATGGAGCTGAAAAGAGATACTTCAGTGAAGGTAAAACGGTATAATGTGAAGCTAGTGACTATTTCTGGTTAAAGTCAATAACTTGTTCCTTTATCTTTTCCCCAAGGAGTCGCAGCAGATGCTTGGAAGGTTGATTCCAGAAAAACAGTTACTCAATGACCAACTGAAACAAGTTCAGCAGAACAGTTTGCACAGTAAGTATATATAATATATATCCGGGGTGAAAGTAACTTAAGGGACTTACGGGTACACAGGGCCGGGGTCCTGGGTGGGGGGGCCTCAGGCAGAAGGGGCAGGGCTTTTAAATCCCAGGCCCTTTAAATCGCTGCCACTACCCTGGGGCTCCGACAGCAATTTAAAGGGCCTGGGGCTCCGGCTTTGGTAGCGGCAGCCAGGAGCCCCGGGCCCTTTAAATCACTTCTGGAGCACTATGGTAGCTGTAGGTGCAGCGGCGGCTGGGAGCCTCGGGGTTCTGGTGGTAATTTAAAGGGCCAGGGGCTCCGGCCACTGATGGGAGCCCCGGGCCCTTTAAATTGCTGCTGGATCCTGGGGCTCCCGGCCACCACTGCTACCCCAGGGCTCCGGCAGTGGGGCTCTGGCAGCGATTTAAAGGGCCAGGGGCTCTGGCTGCTGTCAGGAGCCCAGGGCTCTTTTAAATTGCCCACCTGGGGAAGCTGCCCCCTGCCAGTACAGTCGATTGTGTACCGGCTCTTGCCAGTAGACCGGACCAGCTTACTTTTCCCTCCGTATATATCTATATCTATGTAAAAATAAGTTTGAGTCTGTTTGCGCAATATATAATTCGTATCACTAATAATTTTTTTATCTTGCAAGAGAAATGCTGAGAAACGGTTCAGTGTGTGACCTAAAGATGTCAGTGTAAGAAAATATCTCATTTGACAATATGTTTAAAAACAGGAGATTCTCTTCTTACTATCAAAAGAGCCTTAGAAGCCAAGGAACTAGTACGCCAGCAGCTTCGAGACCAACTAGATGAAGTAGAAAAAGAAACCAGATCAAAACTTCAGGAGATTGATATTTTCAATAATCAACTGAAGGTAACCTATGTTAATCCCTGTTTTCTAAATGTTTGGTTGGTCAGCTGCTAATTTGATCATGGGGAGAAACATTTTACTATGATGTGATTCGTTCAAAATTTTAATGTTAAGACCATTATCCAAAGCGACAGCATTCTGAAATATATTGTACTCTCCTCCTTTTTAAGAAAACAAAATTTGGATAAATTGGCATTACTGTACACTCTGAACAAGAGGTTCCAGATTAAATCTGAACCCATTTGTGAATAAATTCAAATGATCTGATCCCAGATCTATGATTACACTTGAAAAAACTACCAACCTCTACCCTCCCCACCTGTAAACAGAGGTTCTGGAAATATGGTGTAATTACTACAGTATATACTCGTTCATAAGCCAAATATTTTTGGTAAAAAAAAAAAATGACGCATCAAAGAGCGGGGTTTGGCTTATAAACGGGTCTACACCAAAATTTGATGACTTTAAACTCTATGGAATCATTGAATTGAATATCTAATACATTGTCGTTTTGTTTACTTGGAGCATCTGCAGGCATGGAGCCCCTCAGCTCCCTGTGGCTGCGGTTCGCCATTCCCAGCCAATGGGAGCTATGGGGCCCGCAGCTCCCATTGGCTGGGAACGGCGAACCGCAGCCACAGGGAGCTGAGGGGCTCCATGCCTGCAGATGCTCCAAGTAAACAAAACATCCCAACCCACCAGTGGCTTACCCTGACTGGCCAGGAGTCAAAGTTTGCCAACCCCTGAAATATAGGGTTGGCTTATGAAAGGGTCATACAGTTTTTACTCTTTTTACCTAACCCTCTTGGAGGGTCGGCTTATAAACAAACGGACTAGTGAACGAGTATATATGGGTATTTCTGCAAGTTTACAGACCTTTCATTTTAAACATACCTGTAAAGTGACTTGACTTTGTTTTCTATGCAGAATTTTTCTGTCACGCTTGTTCCTGACTGTAGTTTGTTTTTCTTTTGTCTTTTCATACTTTCACTTCTTCTGTTTAGTCAGTTCATAGCTTGATTAGTCAGTTGTTGAGACTGTGCTTTATCTAATCACACAGTAAAAGTAGAGAAATGGCAACAGCTAGGAGAGGAAGAGCATCCTTCAAAGATAGTGTTTAAGACTTCTTCCTGACAGTTACGTTTTAAAAAAAAAAAAAAAAAAGGAAAATGATAACCTAATATGAAGGAACTTTTTATCTCACTGTTTCCATGGATATTTTTTTTAAAAACAGCATCCAGGAGAAGATACAGTATTTCCTGCAACATACAACTAATACATTGAACATTTTGTTTTTTATATTGCAACACGAGCAAAGGTTTTATAGCGATTCTGGTTTGAAATTAGATCTGATTAGGAGAATTGTCTTTATATTAGGTTAATTTGGCTACAGATATGAATTGCATATCTTTTCTGTGAATATATCCTAAAATAATGTTGATAAATTAGATTTCTAATTCACTTTATTCTTGAAAAGGAGACCACACTAATCACCTGTCTGTCAGTAGTTGATAAAACACTATGTTTTGAGAGATAAGGTAAACTGAATAATTTAACAAAAGCATTTAGTGTGCCTTTTCACTACTGAGACCATAGATCAAGTCTTATCTGAAGTTCTAACGTGTTTAAGATTACTGCTCCTCTCTTTAACAACAGAGTATACGATTGTGGCATGTCCTGGAGGTGCCGAAGACTGAGTTGCCTTGTTACTCCCTCCCACACCTCCAGCAAGAGACAAACTTGCTGGTGCTTAACTGTGCATCAGCTCCTTGACAACACCAATCCGTAAGCCAAACAAACAATCCCCTCAGGCCAATGCCAGCCCTTGATTTGCTTTACAGGTTAACGATAGGTTTATCCCAGTCACCAAGCTCCTTTGTAGCATTCCCCTGTGATATCTGGACCCTGTCACCAGCTACTCACAGAAATACCAGTTTTGCTATCACCAAGGGGATGGTGTAAACGCCAGCTTCTTTTATTCAGCTGAAGATCAGCCACTGTATAACATCACAGCACTGAGATACATTTATAGTGAAAACAATCATAAGTTTGTTATCAAAGGGAAGATTTAAGAGAGTAAGGATAATGGAAACAGGTTATATATAAAGCAAAATCAATACATAGTTTCTAGAGACTACACTTAACTTTAACAGGCTATCCATCAGTCTAAAAGCAGTCTTCGAAGCGTTTCCAACCAAGGCTGTTTGGGATCCCATTTTCATTAATATAATCACACTGCCCCGATTACTTCAAGTGCAGGAAAAAGGGGTATCCTGTTGCCTCCTTATATTCCCCAAAGTAATTGTTTGTTTCCTGAGTCAAGATGACCCCTGTGGCTTATTCCCTGGTGTGTTGATTAAATGTTAACTTCACTTCCTCCTGTTGAGTTTGTATGCAAATAGGGCTTTCATTGTGCTGGCCTACAATGCTTAATTTACATGTGAACGGAGGCAGACAGGTGAATATACATCCTTTGTCAGAAACCTGTATGTCAAATCTGCATTGATTCAAACGTTAGGCACTGTGTGTGTGTGTGTGTGTGTGTGTGTGTGTGTAATTTTATATATATAAATGTTTTACATGGTATTTGTACCTACCTTTCACAACAATATTAGTGAACAGTATTCCCCAGCTTTTACTGAAGACCTCACATGACCTTCTTTGTGGATAAATACTATGAAAGCAATGTGTAGCGTAGTGTAGGTGTAGTGAGCTTGTCAGGCCTGTTAAGCGTTGCTGTTACAGAACAGTGAATCTTTTGCCAGTTGGCATTGAGGGGTTCTTAAGGTCACAACTGTAGGTCGCACTTTCATTGCATATATTTTATAGTATTTTATATTCCCTGATAAGAGAAGGCCTGTGGTAGCCAGAGTAGTGGCTAAATTATCTGAATTACTATAATTGTTTCCTTGTGTCTTAATGGTATACACAATCATGTAACCATGAGGTAGATGAAGACTGATGGTTTGGCTGGCAGTTCTCTCAATCCTCCTAAAAGTCTTACTTAATAAAGGTCCTTCTATTAAATTTCTCATTATGGCTGAGGCTCTTCAGTCGCTTATTCCTTCAAGTCAAAAACTCATGAGTAGACACACAATGAATGGGTTTTTTAAGCTCTTTGGAATATAATGACAGGTTTCAGAGTGGTAGCCGTGTTAGTCTGTATCAGCAAAAAGAATGAGGAGTCCTTGTGGCACCTTAGAGACTAACAAATCTATTTGGGCATAAGCTTTCGTTGGCTAAAACCCACTTCATCGGATGCATGCAGTGGAAAATACAGTAGGAAGATATATATATATACACATATAGTTGGTATGGCAACACCCATTTTTTTTTCATGTTCTGTGTGTGTATATATATCTTCCTACTGTATTTTCCGCTGCATGCATCCGATGAAGTGGGTTTTAGCCCACGAAAGCTTATGCCCAAATAAATTTGTTAGTCTCTAAGGTGCCACAAGTACTCCTCATTCTTTTTGGAATACAATGTCACTCAGAGTTGGGTTTTCAAAAGCAGTATCTTAGGGCTTCCTTACTGAATACCTGAAAATCTTCAGGTTGTTGGGACTGCATGGTTGAGGCAACTGGTAAAAAAAAACAAAAAAAAAAAAAAAAATAGAATGGAGAGTCTCTAACTTGTAGATCACCAGTTTGAATTTGGTCCAGGTCCATAATATATGAAATGAGTTGGCTGTCTTAGGCAGTCTCCTAGTACAGTGGTTCCGAACCTTTCCAGACTACTGTACCCCTTTCAGGAATCTGATTTGTCTTGTGTACTGCCAGGTTTCACCTCACTTAAAAACTACTTGCTTACAAAATCAGACCTAAAAATACAAAAGTGTCACAGCCCACTATTATTGAAAAACTGCTTGCTTTTTCGTTTTTACCATATAATTATAAAATACATCAATTGGAATATAAATATTGTACTTGCATATCTGTGTGATACTTGAGCCTGTTTTGCACTTGTTAGCCTTGTCTGAAGCCTGAGCCCCAGGCAGCAGACCTGAAGCATGTAATTTAGCTTTGTGGGACTCCTGTGGCTTGGGGCCCCAGGAAATTGCCCTGCTTGCCACCTCTTAATGATGGCCCCATACTTGCAATCCCCCTAACCTGTCCGGTGATCCTGCTGGGGGCTGCAACCCCTAGATTGAGACACACTGATATAGATGAGTTGAGTACTTCCTGGAAGACCTATGCATACGCCCGGGGGTATGCATACCCCTGGTTGAGAACCACTGTCCTAGTGCCCGTTCATTACTTTTAGATCAGATTTGAAGCGCATTAACAAGAAAGACTGACAGTAGCTAATGCTATATATTATTTTGGGGAGTGTGTGATGGAATAAGAATAATGAAGTCAGTGGGAGCTGCTATATGTGTCGCATGGTTGAAAATCAGGCCACTTATTTGATGTCTCAATATGGGTTTGGGAGCCTAACTTTAGGTACCTCGTTTTGAAAATCTTGGCCTGTATATTATATCTAGTTTAAATATATGTTTGAGTATGATATAGGCCTACCTGGATCCACTCTTTTACATAGAAATGTAAAATAGTTCTGGGTTAAGGAAGGCTTATTATGTTACTCTTTTTATGTAATACAGTTTGTGCATATATGTTATTTATATACAAACCCTGACTTTTACAAAGGCCACAATCATTTAGAAACCCTGTAAGATTGATCAGTTTAAAAAAAAAAAAATCATTGTAAATACAATTCTTGGCTGCAAAGATCAGATATTAATTTCAGATAACGCTGGAGATTCACATATTTAGCATGTATGTTAATATACATACAAGAGGTGAAAGCCAGTAAATTAGTGTAGCCAACTGATTTAAAAATAGGTTTCAGTTACTGGTATATTACTCTTAATGCCAGAAAAAATGTGGCACACAACTGAAGCCATGTTCTTGGAAAAAAGTCTTATTTTGTGTAATATTCCAGTTGTTTTCAGTCCCTGTCTAGTCAATGTGTACTGGACAAGTGTTACATATGAATGACTG